GTATTCACAGCTAATTTCTTACAGGGGTCAAACTATTTACAACTGTCTCACTTATACACCATCATCATGTTGCATGGTATTTAAAGGTCCTGTTCTCACAAACAGCATTCCAGAAAGTCTCTATCAACTGCCCACACGTGTACACCTAGGGTGTCATTGATATCCAGTCTGTCCATGATCATACTGACTGACCACTACTACTTCTTCTGGAAACATTAGCCTCCATTTCTGTTTTCTCAAAACTATTTTCTTCTTCTTCGCATTCACCAGCTGTAAACTCCGGATGAAAATTCTGGTTGTTCATCCATCTCTAGAGTTGTTATAAAACTAGAGTGTTGCACACACATCCATTTTACAGATGTGACTTATTTGTATGCAGACTGTTGGTTCCTTGCCTCTCAAGCAGATGCACCCTGACTTTAAAGGACGCCCCCAATTAGTTGACTCCTACGACATCCTTGTTGGGGAGGCAGTGAGTCTATTTTTGTTTTCCCCACAAGAGGCCCGGCAACCCACATGGGAATCCAAACTATTATGACACTGCTCTGCCTAACCAGTCAACATAAACTGCCTCTGATAATCTGAGCTGTACCAGTGTCTTCATTCCATGTGTCATAACTAGTCCTGTTCATTTCAACCCTGTAAGGCATGTAATGCATAAGTGACACCCCGTATAAAACAATCACAAAAATTTGCACATCTGAACCACAGAAAATACCCTGTTACCAAACTCCTGCATTAAAGTGGGGAAAAATACTGTTTACAAAAAAAAAAAATTTTTTTTTTATTAAAAAAACATTTGTATGTATGTCAAAATGAACTATATTTACTGTATGAAATCTGTGAAAACAGATACAGCTGAGATAATAAGGTGTGGATATTTACATGGTATCAATATTTTGTGGAAGGTAGTGGAAATGCATTGCATTGGTCTTCCACTAATACATTTATTTATAGGCAGTCAAAATGCCAGATTTATGGAGGACTTTACTATTCAAAGCAGATCATACACAACTTCAGACTGGACACCATAACACAGCTTGAGTTCTATAGTAAAGATATCTAAGGCACCACAATGATCTAACAGAATCTTCTACATAGACAAATGTCTGCCTGATTGCAACACAAAGAAATGTGTTTGTTACCACACAGGAGATGTGTCTTAATCTTCAGTCATGACATAGCAGAAATGTCTGTCACCACACAAGAGATAAACAGGTTCCTCTTTAGCTACTACACAAAGTAAGGCAGAGGGGGCGGTTGTGTGTTTATGTGGGAGAAGACCTTTTTCTTCATTCACTGGCTGTAAGCTTCGGCAGAAAGTCTTGGTTGTTCATCCGGTTGGACTATGGTTTTGTGCCAGGGTCTGAGTTCTGCATGTACATCTGCTTCATTGGCTTATTTGTGTGCAGCTGACTGTTCCTTGTCACTCGGGCAGATGCACTCCAACTTCGAAGAAAGTCCCAAATTAGTCAACTCTTAGGGCATCCTTGTTGGGAAGGCAATGGGTATTTTCTTGTTTTCCCCACAATGGGACCCCAGAACCCACACAGGAATGGGAGAAGACCAATTAACTATGTATGATTAATTTGACGGCTAAATTTAACAGCACATGTCAAAGTACATTCCTCGTGTATTATTTCAAATGCTTATAACTATAACTAAGGCCTCATTAAAATGCAATATTCAGAAAAGCCATGAATACAACAAATGTTGATGGTACTTATGCAATGTAAATTGAGAACTGCACAAACTTGAAGCCATCAAGTGACATGCTAGAAGTGGCAACATGTGAGTACATTTTATATCCGGCTCCTAGAAAAATAAGGACTATCTATGTGTCTGGCTGCATCTGAAGTATATGACAGATATTAGAATAATGAATACAAATGGAAAGAGGAGCTTTCGTAGCACTAGGAAATTTGTGGAAGTCACAAGAAGTAAAAGCTAATACTAAGCTTAACATTTTTAATTCTAATGTCAAATGAGTACTTCTGCATGGAGAACAATAGCAGTTGCCAATCAACTATAAATATTCATTTACTGGTGCCCTCAAAAAACAGAGGAATTAAATGGTATGAAAGAATTACTAATGCTGAACTCTGAGAGAGAACAGGTTCCTGCAGATCAACAGTTGAAGAAAAGATGCTGGCATTGGATAGGGCACACAATGAGAAAACCTGAAAGCAATTATTAGAATGTGTTTGCACTGAAACCCACAGAGGCAGAGAATTAAAGGCAGACACACAACCTCCCATTTTTTCCCCTCACGCAAAAAAAAAAAAAACAGCCCAAAAAAAAAAAAACAAGAAGAAGAAAATGGGATGAGCTGCACACAACAGCGAAGAACAGAGCTACTTGGCGAGAGCTGGTTGAGGGCCTATGCTCCATTGAGGACCAAAAGACAGAAGAAGAAGAAAGAAGGTGTCTGGTATACAGTAGCATAAGTTTCCATATGTAGGACACATAAACATACCACCAATGCCATTACAAGCATAACTGCATATGTGATTAAATGTGTTATTTAGCAGTGTAGCACACACATTGAAATGTGTTTCTGAAACACCACTAGTTATACAGAGCAAACATTTCTCTCTTAACTCTCCCTGTGTGGGTTTCTGAACCATTTCAGGGAAAGAAAGGGCAGACCCACTACTTCCTTAACAGGCATATGATAAAATTGACTTATCAGGGGTGTTTCCTTCAAGGTTAAGAGTCCATCAGCCCGAGAGGCAAGGAACCAACAGTTTATACACAAATAAACCAGATCTGAAAATGAATGTGCATAACTCTAGTCCACAAGTGGGTCAATGACCAGAACTTTCTGTGGAGTTGAACCCTATAAACATGAAGATCTTTCCATGAAGGACTGCCTTACTTGTTTTTCTGTTGATTCTCTTCTCTCCCTTTCCACCCCAGAACGACAAACATTTATGTTAAGATGTGTCTTAGATGGTCTACCATAAACCACTGACAGATGAATTTCTTGAAGTGTATCACTGATAGTTCACTTGGAAAATCACTGATGAATTAAGATTTCATAAACTTTTTGAGTCCCAGGGGGTTTAGCATCAGAGGCCCAAGGGGTAGTCTAAAGACGTAAAATCGGCGCATCTTGCATTTATTGGGACTCAAAAGTTGATGCATGATAGTTAACTTTTAATGTCAATGCCTGCCATCCAGAATTTTACTTCTTTAGGGCTTAGAAATGACTAAAGAATTACAAAAAAGAGAACTAATTCTTAATTTTATCTTAAATATATTATCCCAGAAATGTACTTGAAATTGACAAGCTCAGGATTACAGCAGATTTCCGGTAAATTTGAAAAGTTGCATGGCAAAGCGATTTTATTCGGTAGTTAGTGACCAGAAGAAAACATCACCCCCCCCCCCCCCCAGGATGACGTCACATGACAGTCTAATATTTTTGAGGATGGTAAGAGTGTGTTTCCCGGCTTTTTGATGTTTTTAACTACCCCAAAACATCAAGAACTGGGCCTAACCACAACCCCACATTTGTCCTGCAAAGAGAGTGCAGCCTAGGTCCCATGACTGCATGCAGTTTATCTACCACACCCTAAAATATTTGCCTGCCTGTCTGTTGGGGGGGGGGGGGGGGGGGGGGGGATGGGGCAGAACAATCAAATTTTCAGCATAACTGAAAACAGTTGTCTAGGTGGCCAAGAATCACAACATGTGTTTTCTTCAACACATCATTTGGAGATATTTAAATCTACAATGCACCCAGAGTTCCTGTGTTTCATAGTCTGGTCTATTATTCCATTAATACTATTTAATTTATGAAGTAAATGCTGAGAAACTACCAGTCAGAATAAACAAAAAAGGAAGACAGTGATGTACAAACTACCAAACTAAAAGAGTATAATCATTCTGGCCAATGTACTTTAACAATATATGATGATGATAGCAATCATATCAATAGTAAATATACAACAAACAGCATTCATAAATACTTATATTGCACTGAACACATTGCAAATTTCATATTTAGGCAGCAGCTTGATGTTATGAGATTTTGTACAACTAGTGAAAAATCTACATATTAAACAGCATATTGTCAACATAAACAGTGTATTTAGTGTTTCTAATCCATGCCACACAATGTTATCAGCTCCATCCACAGTCCTCTCTCTGGTATAATGATATTTTCTTATTCAGATGTTCTTCCATGCCATTATGCAAAACCCTTCAATATCTAAGTGGTTTGCTTTCTCATCAGAACATGCACCAGTTCTGTCTCCTGAAGAATGTGGACCGTTTTCAAATGCGGGGAAACGGGTCTCTTTATGAATTAGATTAAAATTCTATCAAAACATCTTTACTGCAGTTCTGTGGATGTAACAAAGTTACTGACGCATGTTGAAAATGAATGACACTGTCTCAGTGTCAGTAACAACAATGTTGCAGGGCACCAAATTAAATGATGTGCTTGAGTTGATGCCCTTATGATGTCAATGATAATGCTGACTGTCACAGAATTATGGTTTCATACCACCAGAGAAACTGTTGATTGGCAGTGTCTCCTAATGTCAGCAACAACACTGTCCAACGATACTGAATTACTGAAGTACCTGAAAAACTCGACAAGGAACAAGCTGTTGAATGATGACAATGTGACTGGATTCAGGTCCTGCATCAGAACATGAGATGTTCAATTCATGAAGATAGATTTCTTGAATGAAAGTTCCATGTCAATGCTCACTGCCGCCAGGAAATACCTCCTCAGATGTGAATAATTCACAGATCAGTAGTGTCAGTTATTTAATTGAATGACAGTGTTGATTCACAGTGGTGTGATGTCACTCAATGATATTCACACTGGTACGACTATGAGGTCACTCATTTAAACTAAATGTCTTGTGGATTAGATTAAATGTCATGTCGCCTCGGTTTTTTTTCCCTTTACATTGAGATGTTAGATCAAATATGACGCCAATAGAAGAAGTGAGTGATTATGGTGGCTACAGATCTAGTATAAATCACATGTTGAACGATGACACTGAGGATATGCCAGTCTGGGCAGAGGTAACGTCTCTTTCGTACCTGCTACTAAGGACTTTGGCAGTCTCCGTCAACTGATGTAAGAGACCGAATAAACCCCTAAGGTGGAATCTAAAAGCTGCTGCCGTTTTTCTGGCATTTTCGGAAACTGAGTCGTTTTCATTCACCTTTTCTGTGAAATTGTCAATGTTTTCATCTAAGCTTGTTGCTTTTGGACCGGCGATGATTTCTGACTTGATAGCGTGTAGCATGACGTAGAAATCGTACAAATCTCCGCTCAAATGTGCGGCAGGAACAACAGCTTTGTTGTTGTTTTCCTCAATCTTAGAGGAGGTGACAGAATCCACTGGAATGTCTCGAAGTCGGCAAGGAATCATGACGGTGTCGTCCATGGAGTCTACCGCCTGCACGAAACGATTAATGGCGCTCAGTAACGACTGTTGCTGCCCATCAGTGGCTAACGTACGCCTGCTATTGATATTCATTCCTGACATGATTATATGTAGATGCAAACTTTCCTCAATGAAATAAACCAACACACACAAGGAACAACAGCACTAAAATGACGAGATCGATGAGGGTTTTTTTAAAGTCACGCCACAACTTGCTAGCGCCGGCTTGAAACTAACACACAAGTAGAATCGTCCAGATAATGTAGATGTGGGTAAACTCAAGTTCTGATATCGCAATGTAACATATGCAGTTTTTTTAAATAAAACTTTAGCTGAATTTTGCGAGTAGTTTACTTTATTCCAATATGTGTGGTCTTATATAGCGTGCAGATTACGCTACAGAAACTGCTGAGATAGTGTAGTGGGGTAAACTCGCGTCCCTACAAGATAATGAACTTGGCCAAGGAGAACATGTGACCGCGCTCTGGGTCACTGACACGAGTTTTGATTGGCTGCCAACGATCAGCAGTACAAGCAGTGACTGCCAAGGACGCCATTGTCGTCTGATTCTTCAGTTGCTGGGCGGGCGGCCACGTTGTTGGCGTTAGGTTAGTCTGCTGACATGGTGATGAAATCACGACTCCTCACAGTGATTCTCCACGTGGTAACCACACATCCCATATCTTCAAGTAAATAATATAATGCGGAAACTTTCCGAAATCCAAGTAATACCAGTTGTGAGTGTTATCACCCTTAGAAAGTGTTTGGTTTGATATTTTAACAGTTAAAACTGTACTTTAAAAATCACCCCGCCTAGATTGTTGTCGTTGTTAACGTTTTCGTAACGCGTGTTGACCACGTCCACTAAATGTTACGACTTTGTAGAGTCCATGCTGTCTATATAAAACTTGATTTTTGTTGTGGGGGGGGGGGGGCGGCGGCGTGTTAACATTGTTTGTAAAAAAAATTGTCAAGGTCATTTTAAATGTATTACAAACGCATTTCCTTGAACCCTCTGTAATCTCGACTTGGAGTCACGCTAAAAAATGTAGACATGACCCTGAACGATCATAATTTATATAGGTAAAGAAGGGAATTTTTGGGGGAGGGGTTATATTATTTTTTTTTTTTTTTAAGTAGATCCCTTGCTCCTTAATATTCATTTGAAAACTAAAGATTTGCTGACATTATGTTTTGGGCTGAAGGGCCAATTTATCGCTCCCTAACTGTGAACCACAGCACAACGTGCCAATTACACTTTTAAGAACGAACGTAACAGAAGAAAAATAAAGCTCTTGTAGTTTAAAGTTGTCGTTTGCGAAGAATATATTGTAAAGAAATCTCGATCTACGAGATGACGTGAAAAGAGCTTACAGTTACGTTTAATTTCCGCATAAGTGTACAGTCATGTTGTGTTTAAAGCCAAACGACAAATGATCGTCAGTATTTTCATACAAATGTCAGACCTTGTTATTAACCACGGAAAGTGAGAGAAAGAGAGAACGCAGAAAGAAAATATATACTTGATAACAGATTAGTTTAGCTAGAAATGGCTAAGAAATAATAGCATCAGAGTAATTTTAGCCATCATTGAATGCGCTTTCACTGTGTTGTTTTTTGGAGGCAGAATAAGTTAGTTAATTATCTAATCATCATAGAGACGTGATATGCCGGTTACTCGTCTAATAATCGTCTCTGCCCACAACTGTAAACAAGTACAAGCAAAAGCGGAGAGCAAGTGGACTGACAGTATAAGTACCTAACAACGAAACATGCTAACATTAGTCAGTGTAACACACTTGCCCCTAGGACATAGCTTTTATAAGCTCTCCAATATTATATAAAATGTGTGGACCAACACGAACATACAAGATCTTTTTCTGGTTCGAACAGAATAGTCCTTTATTGATTTAGCGAGATTAAATTCATTAGATCGGATGCCAGACTACAGTACTAATAGAAAACTGTCACAGGGCTGTTGTGATGCAGAACCAGTCCACATTTTGCACATTTATTGAGAGCTTTGTCATGTCCCTAATGTTTCATACCGTCACGACAGTGCTCTATACCAGGTGTCCCGCACATTTCCTTTCCAGGGAGAGACTGGGCACATGAAAGTTTGTATCAGTCGAAAACATGTCTATGCTTCATGATAAACAATATATTTCCGCCTTTACTCGAATCTCCTTCTTTTGTTTCAGTTATTATTTTTCAAAAGTGAGTTTAGTCTGCAGTTCTTGGATGAAATTGCTATTTAGGAATCGCATGGGGCACACATGTTGTTGTATTATAGCATGTTAGTGAAAGTCTGTATTTATTTATAAGAGGTTCTTCTTCTTCTTCTTCTTCTTCTTCTTCTTCTTCTTCTTCTTCTTCTTCTACTCATCGTCATCCTCTTTTTTCTTCCTCTTGATTAAAATAACCATTCTTTCTTTCTTTTCTACTGTTGCTATTCTGTGCATTCTCCCCTTTTCCACCTCCTGTTCATAATAACTTTTTATCACATCATTTTCTATTGGGCTGTGGGTCCCCTAACCCCCCCGCCCCCACCCCCTCAACCTTTCCCGGCGTCTTCTTGTTGTCCTCGCATTCTTCTTACCGCTGTTTACGTTATACTTAACAGCCACTGTGGAAATATTGCTTGCTAATTAGACCTTTACTTCTCGCTACATTTGAATGTCAGTGTTATGTGTCGTTAGCTTGGTACTCGTTACATCACCTAAACACCTAACTGACTGTCATTCGGTAACATCCTCTGCTGAAAATAAGTCGCCTATTTCGTCCCCGTTCCTCTTCAAGATTGCTCTCCGTAGAAATAAAACACCTCAAGGAGGAGAAGCAAATCCCAGAAACTCGATTCAGCCGTATAGCACAGTTATATAAGGGCACTCTTAACGTTCACAGTCACAAAATAACTAACCGTCCAATGTGTAGATTATTGTTGTATCCCCTTTCTACCATTTATAATTATTTCTGATCCTGCCTTCTATTTGTTCCACTCATTTGAAAGGGTTGGGAATCCCTGAAACCCAACTTCTGTCTGGACCCTAAATTTTCTAATGTGTCGATGTTGTGCAAACTAATTATAAACAGCGCACCCCCCACTGCGGGAGTTTCCTCTCTCTTATCTCCTAGCAGTACACAAGCTATGTGTAGGTCACGCCATACCGGCTGGCGTGGGAGATCACGCATAAGTGCACCCTGTAACATGTGGAGAAATAACAAGACACTCGAGCCTGATGATATACACTCGTATAAAACTCAAGTGATGTAACCATAAGTAGAAAATAACAACTAAGAGCAGTGAATCATTTTTCATCATGAAGTACTTTGCCAGCTGGCAAGGGTGATCACATTTCTTCACATCTTGCAGCATTTTTCATTGTCCGTGTCACGATAAAATGCTGTCAGGAATCTACCACCGTTGTCTTCTTTTATCTCTCTCTCTCTCTCTCTCTCATTCTCTCTCTCTCTCTCTCTCTCTCTCTCTCACTCTCTCAATTATTCACAAGTTCTAGTTGTTCTCTTCGCAAAAATGGAACCTTTCTCGTCCAGAAGAATAAATCTTTACATCTACTCTGCACTATTGTATAATGGAGAAACATAGTAGGAAAAAAAAGCAACACGAGGGCAGCATTAAAGCTATAGAAATGTCATCATCATCATGTAGCAGGTCCTTTGCAGAACGTCGCTCTTACCACAGTCTGCCTGAAAGAAACTCGGTCTCTCACCTGCTCTCCCGTCTCATGTACTTTCATACTCAAGGTGTCACTTATTTACTGTGCCCATCTTCGTGTCGGTCGGTCGGTCGACAAGAAATGTAGTTATATATATATAAATATAGACGGACAGGGTGTACATGACAGGGGAAGAAAACAGAACCATTACATAACCTGAATTCCCGTGTGGGTTCCGTGGCTCCAGTGTGGTTGGGGGGTGGGGGGGGGGGAGGAAATAGACCCCAAAACGGATGTGCACACAAGACTCAGGTTCTGAAAGAAGACCAGAGTCGAGAAGTGAATAAGCAACCAGAACTTTCCGCCGGAATTTACAACCGGAGAACGCAAGGAAGAAGAAAGTAAACTGAGAAGGATTAAAATATTACCGAACGAGATGGAGGGTACACGATTAAGTTACTTGAGATATATAGAAAGACACACCTCCCTGTTAAAGCTCGGACGGAGAGTGAGGTTGGGGTGCGGGAGGGGGTGGGGGGGGGGCGTGAGAATACAGTGTTACATATTGGACGAGATCAAGAGCTTCACAGGAAGAAAGCTTATCTGAGGGCTACACAAGGACGTAGGGCATAAGGTGTAGGATGAGATTATTTTTAAACTAGCACAGAAGCTGGTGTCAACTGTCAAGAGAATTGAAGCTCGTCATGAGACTATTTAGTTGGCTCTAGATTTGCACAAATATATTTTAGTTTTGAATCAAATGGTTTGAATCTCGAGTTGAAATTACCTAGGTGAACATCACGTGTGTGTATGTTTGTGTGTGTGTGTGTGAAAGAGAGAGAGGGGGAGGGGGAGAGAGAATGCGCTTCTTACAATTGTTTAAATTATATATATTCTCTCTCTCTCTCCCCCTCTCTCTGTCTCTAAATTATTCTGAAGTTCCAGTTGTTCTCTTCGCATATATATATATATATATATATATATATATATATATATATATATATATATATAGAGAGAGAGAGAGAGAGAGAGAGAGAGAGAGAGAAAGAGAGAGAGAGAAATTTAACCATTAGGTTGGACCCTTGGGACAGGAGGGGCATCTCTCAATTTCGCATAAATTTGTTGTAGATAATAATGTTGATAATTATTTGGACCTACAATTTAACCACGAACAGCAACATCAGCCATTAGTCCTTGGTTACAGAATAAGAACCCACAGGAGCATAGAAATGCAGGAAGACGAAAAAACACACGGAGAAGGGAGCTAGAGAGTGAAGTTAAACAGATAGGGAGAGCTACGTGCGATAGCGATTGATAGAACGATATGGCGTGAGCTGGCAGAGGGCCTACGCTCCATTGAGGGTTATAAAGACAGAATAAGTCAGAATGAAAATGGACATTTTAGGGGAAAGATCATATATGAAA